TGGCTCCCGAGGTCGAGGGGGGAAATATCTGGTCGAAACACTCGCAACAAGCAGAAACTGAACACACCTCTCTGTCGGACCAACAGACTGAAAAACTCTCCCATTCCATACCTTGTAAACCTTCTCAACAAGGGACAGTGAACTCTGAACTGTACTCTGAACAAACTTTCTGAATTTCGAATCTAAAGTTTACCCTGCACCTATCTTGTTGTCAATCTACGCCTAACTACGAGTTTTTAATTGATCTTTTTATCTTTAAGAGATGCCAATTTGTTTTATATAGAAATTAAGAATTTACTTTTAAAACTGTAAATACCCACAGCTTGTGTATAATAATATAAAACGAGCTCAATGGTTTGTAAATACCAACGCAATTCAGACTTTTGTCTGCCATGTTTGTATTGAAAATAAAGTTTCAAAGTTTCAAAGTTACATAGTGCGGTTACCGTTCACTGCCCCAGAACATGGTGATATCAACATCAGAAATGCTTCCACTGTAGTGTTCAAGAGACCACATTATACTATGTGTGACAGGGGATTTGGGTAGATACTTTGGCCGTCTTCTGCGGCAGTAAACGGCTACCATACTATGTATTACATGAACTAGAAGTACTTCAAACATTAAAGTAGTAGACATTCATGCCGATTTATCTGTCCCTGGAATCCATTCTGGACTTTAAAAAACGTAATTCAATACTTCATTTTTGACAGTCTGTATGCCACTAAATTGGAATGGTATTGAATATAATATCTTCTGGACTTAACTCAACCCACTCCATCCACGAAAACGCCATCCTAAGCAGACACGTGTCGTTTGTTATGTCTTGTGTGCAGATGCTCTTAATGCCTTACTATTTATTTGGGTAGCGTTCTCTTCAAGGTTTCAGTTACATGTTGTATATTTCATATCCTTGGGGATGACTACTTGCAACATTAGGTATTTGTCTTACCAGTCTTGAATCATAGTTATAGACCCGCAACACTAAAAGGAATACCACAAATATGTAGCGAATATGGATGAGGATTTCACAGTTCCAAGGATGCATCCACAGAACTGGTTGACTTCGACAATCATTATTCCGCGTAGCTCTATAATTCTACATCAAGGCAATATTTTTCAGACAGTACACCAAACCATAGCAATTTGCGAATCAATGACATATAGGTTGTCAAGATTCGACATTTTTTTTTATCCTTATCTTTCGTTTTTTGACAGATAGTCGTTTTTGTCAGTTGGTTGTGATCTTTGGGGGTAGATGGTTACTAATGGCTAATGCACCATCTTCGATATCCACTACAATAATGCCGCAGGGGCTTTCATAAAGGGACACATATAAATTTGCACTAAAATCCGAAACAAAGCCCACTCGTTTTGTGGCTTCACCACAAGTACCAGAATGCAAAGAAACATGGCTGACAGCTGTGTTTCCAGCTTGTATATAAGACATCATATTTTGGCACCTCAACTATCTTAATGGCACTTCTTTGGAATGGAGTAGGATTGATTTAACTTACGTTGTAAAGAAATGACCAGAATTGTGTTTTGTTTGGATCGTCTTAATGTTACACAGTGCTTCTTTTAAAATTGCAGACCACAAAAACGTTATAACTGTCAGAATGGATAATGTTTTGGGTAATGGGTACTATTTTTGTACAACGATGTGGTTTCATTCCCTCCACGTATAACCATGAATGAGATGTCTAGTACAGATCAATAAGTACAGAAAGTACTTTCCATGCACTCCTCTAAGTCTCTCACTTTGGCAATAATTATATGGTTTAGCCAGATAACCTTCTGTAAAGAACGTAACCTGCACAAGTTCGAAGTCTGTTCTGGCAAAGGTCCTAAGACCTGTCTACAGTAGCATCAGAAACAATCATTTTGGTGTATCACTACTGACTAGGTCAGAGCCTAAGAGCTTCTGCATGTGTCAAATGGTCTACTGCCTACGTCGTTGTGTGTTGTGGAATAAGATTTGCGTTTTCGCATGGAGAATTGAATTTGGTATGGTGTGAAGAAACCAGCACAATAAGAGTCTTATGTATTAGGATAAAAAAATTAGCTTCAGCTTTGTCCGTGCAGTTTCATCCACCAAGGATTCAACCTATTAAAAAAATCCATTTCAGACTTCCAGGAATTAACAATCCTCGGATTCCCGGAAATCTACCATGTCGACCTTTATTGTCTGCTGCCCCCCGGTCAGAGTCTGAGACCTTAAACCTCCTGTCAATCTTCCTCTCAATCTTACCCCACCCACGTCCTGTTAACCTAATGTGTCAGGATTATCAGAATATTACTCGAAATAATTGTTTTGGGTGTCTGAGTTGTGAGTTCGTGTTTTTGATAATCAGGTACACAAACACACAACTCAGCCACCCAAAGCAATACTTCCATACCTGAAGCAGTGATATAAAGAATTGAGCTTGAGGTACTACAAACACTAACGCCCACATCCCATGGCCAGCCAATGTCTAAACTTTCAAATGAAGGTTTCGTTTTAACATTCATGCCTACGAAGATGCGTATTGATACACTCGGAGAGGTGTGAAAGTGGTACTGTGTGATGTCAAACAACCAACTGACGTTAAAGATTGAATGGCAAGATTCTCTACAATAGTGATCGCCGATACTTTGCGGGATAATTGCGGTCAAGCCCAAACTATTTGTTAGATGGGAAAGACGCGGTTATCGGGACGAGCTGTTTATCTGTTACCTACGCCTTTAAGTCATCTTCACCCTACAAAATGTCTCAAAACTTGTATCAGGGGCCAGTGGCCAAGCGAAAGGATTTTAAAGGATGCAATACGTCTTCGATCAAGATGACGACATCCTAGGAATACAGAATACGACGCAGGCAATACTAAACGGAGCAGAATTGCATTGACAGCAGTTGGGAGGGGGGGGGTGATGGAGTAAAGGCGCGGTCACATTTCCCAAGCCGGGGCCCGACCGGGCAGTCGTTTGGAACGAAAATTATGATATAAGACAACGAAACACAAAAAAAAGTTTTAGAAAATTAACCATGAGCACTATTTTTGTGTACTCTTAATACAAATTGTCTATTTTTCGTTCACGCAAACAACCCGGTCGGGCCCCGGCTTGGAAATGTGACCATGCCCTAAACAGGGTGAACTCGAGGGAGAATGGCCAAAGGTCAACTGTAGCAATGGCACACTAAAAGTCCGTTCTTCAAACCTACTTTGCGCTGAGTGCAGTCAATACGGAAAACATAAAATCAAATTTGCACCACGCTGAATGTCTGGCCACGATGCATACAATTGTCTAAAAATACTGCTCGGCGTATGAATCAAATGCTACCTCCGGAAGAAAAGTTGTCAGTGCTAACCTTCTTACACATTTACTTATTCTCGTGCACTTTCCAGTGCGACACAACCCGTGTGAGGAATATACGAGAGGCGTCTTAAAGCGAATGTTCCTTGAAAGATGTATTGCGGGACGCAAGGAGGTGTGACATTGGATCCGTGTGATCTCCGTATCACCTTCACCTTCTCAGGAAATATTCGAAGAGTCAGTTATCATCGTAGATAGAGGTGCACGATGGCAATATATATCATATACCCGGACATACAAGGATAAAACCTAGGTTCCACACCTGACATTTACGGCGAAATGGATGCCATGAAACATGGTAGTATCCGGCTACTTGCGATGTTGTATACATGGTCACTAAGAGGTTATTGGGAAACGTTTCGCCACCGTGTGATAGCTATGATCAGTCTTAAAAGCGTAGGCGGCATCCACCCACACAGATTGGCGTATGGCTGGATGTTTACATGAGTGTGAGAGAGAGTTATTGACCTATAGTACCAAGGGTACCATCAGTCAAGCTTTCTGGACACATATGGTTGAAAAAAGAAATGAGAGAAGGTTATTGACTTATAGTTACTGTACCAATGTCTATGGACACATGAGTTCAAAAAAGAAATGAGAGTTATTGACCTATAGTACCAAGGGTACCACAAGTCAAGCTTTCTGGACACATGGGTTGAAAAAAGAAACGAGAGAAGGTTATTGACCTATAGTACCAAGGGTACCATAAGTCAAGCTCTATGGACACATGGGTTCAACAAAGAAATGACAGTTATTGACCTATAGTACCAAGGCTACCACAAGTCAAGCTTTCTGAACACATGGGTTGAAAAAAGAAATGAGAGAAGGTTATTGACCTATAGTACAAAGGGTACTATAAGTCAAGCTTTCTGGACACATGGGTTGAAAAAAGAAATGAGAGAAGTTTATTGACCTATAGTACCAAGGGTACCATAAGTCAATCTTTCTGGACACATGGGTTGAAAAATGAAATGAGAGAAGGTTATTGACCTATAGTGCCAAGGGTACTATAAGTCAAGTTTTATGGACACATACATGTAGCCTAGTAGCCTAGTAGAAAATGTCATGACAGCTTAAACATTGCAATATAAATTCTAAACGTTCGAATAAAAGGTCACCTGCGTTTGCAGAGCCCGTAGTTCTGATGAAGGTCGACGAGATCAACTGAAAATTTATGGTAAGCTTTCCCTTTGTGTTGGAACAAAGATTAACATTGTACACCTATCTATCCATAGATTATCTAACCCATTCATTGTCAAAACCTTTCCAAAACCTTAATTCGTCCAAGAAGGTTAGAAATCTAGATCGACACACAAGATGCACAAGAAAACTGTTACTCAAGCAACTTACTCAAGTAGCATCCAATTCTTTTTGTCAGTGCCTGAATCTTAAGTGTTGCAAAATTCTTGACCTTCGATACATCTGTTAAACTTTTTGTAGTACGTGTCAGCAAATATTCACACAACCTGTCGTTTCAGAAAAGGTTACTCCAGTGCATTGTAAAGTTCGGCTAATGACATGTTCTTTATGTGCGACAGACACGTCTCAATTACAGTACAGACCTTGCGGAAATTCTTCAGCGTGGTTTGAAAAACAGTCACGTATTTTACACTGACAAAGCAAGGACACGGACGCCATGATTATGTAATAGAGATGTCGCGCAACTTGACAGATTACTATAGCAAGGATTTCATCTTGTTTTAGTTAAAATGAAGAACAAGGTCTCCTGTGGAATCCTAATAGGAAAAATATATCGATTAATCACGCCTAGCCCCATATATATGATATATAGAAAAAATACTCCTTTTGATGTGTGGTTTCAATATCTGTATTCAAAGCAGAAATCCATTATGAAAAGTTGACACCATACAGTGCACTACGTTTGATTTACTGACAAACAGTTCAAAATTTCTCAGAAACTGAGTGGTTTTCCAATCCTTTGAATTAAAACATCACCATTGTCCTTATTACAATAGGAAAAAGACTCATCTTTATATGATGTTAAAAAGTATCATTATTTTCAAGATAGAACATCAAAACATTGCTAAAATGGCACTTAGCAGAAAACAAATTTTAAACTAATGCTACAAAACCTATTTGCTGACTAGAGACAGTGATATATGCGCATACAATTTAAGAGCACGGTCTGATATAAATTCATACTAGCAATGCAATTCTTTACAATTCTTTCTACTACTAGTAGTTTGTGATGCTTAGGAAATTTTGTCTGTTTTCCATCTACATAACTGTCAGTTGCACATCCTTGGAGTCAGAGCCTAAGCCATTGAGTGCCTTACAGTGATACTCTCCGGCATCACTCGCCATTGTGTCAGCCACTGTCAGGCTTCCATCCTCATAGTTAACTCGAAACTTATTATATTGGTAGGAATACTTGGACAGCTCTACTCCTGGAGACTGTGGAATTGTCCAGAAGATTTCTGCCTGAGGACAGGCCGTCACGTTACACGTCAGGACTGTGTCTTTACCCACAGTACCTTGCACCTGCCCCCCTGATTGGTCGATCTTTGGTGCGGATGTTTGTGGTTTGCAGTCGTCACAAGTGAGTTCATCAACGTCCAAGTCACGTAACTTCTTTCCGAAGTACTTAGAAGGAGAGCGGCATTCAACTTCAATCTCGAGCATTGGGTCTGACATGTTAAGCCAGCGGGCGAAATCCTTCATTAAACAATCACATGCCCAGGGGTTGTTGTCAAGGGACACTTTGCTCAAGTTTTTGAAGCCCGAGAAAATGTTACCAGGCAGATAGCTGGCTTGATTGTTGGCAAGGTTAACCGTTTCCAAACTAGACAGGCCAACAAAAGCACCACTTTCGATAAAGCTGATGCGGTTACCGTCCAACACGAGGGTCGTTAACTTGGTATTTGGGAAAGAATTGCTAGACAGGTGGGTGATTAAGTTAGAACTCATATCTATCCGACTTAGATTGACGTAAGACATAAGCATGTTCGTAGGAACCATACTGACGCCATTACCTTTTAGGAATAGCGCAGAAAGGTTGGCAGATTTGCCAAAGTCGGTCGTGATGTTTTTGATTTGATTATAAGACAGGGTTAACGAGGTCAAATTAGACAGGCAATTCAACGCTTCGGAGGGAACAGACTGCAAATGATCCTCGTCTAAAACCAGAGATTGCAGGGAAGGGAGGTTGCAAAAGGCCTGGGCGTTAAGTGTGCCGTTCACGTTAAGAGTATTTGCAAGGTTCAAACGAGAAAGCCTCTCTAACCCTTCAAAAGCATGGGCGGGAATCTCATCCATGTCATTGTCGTACAGATCTAACGTCATTAGAAACGCCGCGTCGCTAAGGCCGGTTGGGGGAGCTTTTAACTTGTTGTTGTTTAGAGAGATTGTTTGGACGTTTTTAAGCCCGGAAAAGGAAATTTCACTCAGCATGTTGTAGCTGAGATCGACTTCCTGCAAGTAATACACGTCCAGGGCACCATCTCCAACCTCAGTCAGTTGGTTGTTGGCTAGATTGAGCGTCTCTACTCTAGTTGTTGTACCGAAGACGCCCTTAGGGAAAGACTGGAGTTTATTGAACTCGAAGCTGACCAGGCTGAGAGACACACTTTCCGACATTAGGCCAGCGGGGACAGTTGTAAGCTCGTTATGCGACAAATCTAGTGTTCTAAGGAACTTAGCGTGATCAAATGACCCTGCTTCAATGGTTGCTATCTTGTTGTCATTAAGGGTTAAGGATGATATGCCTTCCTTTCCCCCTGTCTTGAAGGTATTCTTAGTGATAGACGTCAACTGATTGTTATTCAGTTGAATATTGAGGGTATTGAGGTTGGATGCCTCAAAGGCGCCATCTTCGATCATGGATATCATATTGTTGCTGAGAACGATTTGGTTCAGATGTTTAGCATTGGAAAACAGGCTCTTGGAAATCTTTGTTATCTGGTTATCACTAAGGTCTAGACTGAACAGTTTTGGCGTATACTCGAACAGCGTAGAGTCAAGGTCGGTCAGATTGTTACCACTCAAGCCGAGACGGTTCAAATTATCTAGATCCTGAAACACCCTCGCCCCAATAGAAGTGATCTGGTTATCACCCAGGTCTAAGAACTCTAAGTGAGTCAAACCTGAGAGGTCGCTTTCTGACAGAGTTGAAATTTGATTTGACCCCATATTTAACTGCATGAGAATCGGGCAGTTTTTAAAGAGGCCCGACGGTAACGCAGTTAGAGCGTTACCAGAAATATCGAAGAACTCAAGGTGAGCGAGATCGTCCAAGGCACCTGACTCGATGGTTGAAATCTTGTTACTTGGCAGTAGGAGTCGGGTAAGCCTTGTTAGACCCTTGAGATCAGTGGCTCGGACCTCGGTGATGCCGGTACTTGTCAGGGTGAGGGATGTGATGTTTGGGGGTAGATTGCTTGGAATGTTCATGATGCTGAAATGAATAAAAAAAATGGAACATTTGCCCGTTGGCTCTTAGGATAATGAAGCCCCTTCAAATAAAAAAAAAAGAGAGTTATTCCAACAGGTACACCTACAAGGGATATCAACTACATGTATAGAAATGTTAACCATTAGATAATTGATAACTTTCTTAGAGTAGTAGATAAACATCCGTCAATTGGTTGGATAAACAGTATCTAATTTATGTGATTTAAGATTCAAAACATTTACTAAGTTCACTCGAATTTACAATGTTTCAATAGCAAAAGCCTTGATGTCGCAATGCAAGGTAGCATATGATAATGCAAAATAAGTTCATGAAGTAAGACATACTTTCCCCCAGTACAGGTGACCAAAAAGGGATGGGTTGTTGTAGGCTGACACAGGCATCCTTTCGGGCACGCAGCTCCGGTAGTTTGGAACAGCACAAAGGTCACGAGTGCAAAGGTCACGAGAACGCCCCATGTGGCCGCCATGGTGTAGCTGTGGATAGAATGTTGATGTTCTTGATAAATACAATATTGTAATCTTTATACTATAGGCACCAATTTGTAATGCAAGCTCTTGTTGTTATAACGTTAACAAACGATCAAACTACAATTCAGGACGCCTCTTACAAAACAGTCACTTTCTAGGCAATTTGATATATTGCTTATCCATAAAAGCGTGAAATAGAAATTTCAATGTTGATGTATGTACCATGCAAATATCAGGCACCCTTATCATATGCGCAATGCTTTACTCTACGGTTCAACATACACACGGGCATTCCCCCATAGCCGCGTGACTGCCACATGGTTGGTTGATGTTTACTTAAGGGGGCGTACACCTAGATCCCACTGCCTCTTACTTTTACAATATACGTTTAGCCAAAGCTTTTAAGAAGTCTTTGAAATTTCACATATACACTTCTAATAGGTTCTCTGTTACCATGAAAAGTTACTAGTAGGTTGAATACATGTTGCTAGTTCTTATTTAACTTGATAAATACACATAATTTACGTGTACACATCTGTATTTGTGTACAATAGTGAGGACTATTCTATGAGGTATTCAAACATCATAAATCGACCACAGTAAGCAGTCTCTCGTCTGATAAAGAAAAAAGTGCGAACGTTACCTTGAAAATGACTGTTTCTTCAGGAAAGTTCAGGAAAAAGTTGTGTCTGCAACCCTTTCGTGGAACAGACTGGTGCACGCGTAGATCAGGTGAGACTTAAAGGGTAAGGGTCAGACGAGTTAATGATTTCAACCATACCATATTTGGTAGGCGTAACGCTAGTATCTGACGCCGTGTCCCGAGCGAGGCCATTTATAGCACCAGAACTGAGTTACAAGCATGTCTTATGACTTGTAAACAAATGGCAAGAACTCGGTAAATATTTTTTCTTTGCCTTTAGTTTTGTTGTTTACGTTCTACTTTGGGATACAATAATGGCAGACCCGGTTAATTTTGGATTTCATATATTTATTAGTAGGTCAAACGGCAAAACTAGCAACTGCATGTTATGTTTGAAAAATCATTTGCATAGGTTTCAAGGCTAACACATATATACTTTTATGCAGATGATCAGTGACAATGTGCATACCATGCATAAAGCGTATAATAGCGGTCACAGTAAAATCGTCTTCAGACGCCATAAAATGTGGGAAATGTTTCGCCATCATTTTAAGTCCTTACTATATATACAGTGCATTTTTATAATTTCAAACACAGGGTCACAAAGTGATAAGTACATCGTAACCAGGCAGGATATTTCTACTCAGCTTGAACTTACATAACGGTTAGCTTCACAACCTTAGAATCAGAGCCCAGACCATTGAATGCCTTACAGTGATAATCCCCGGCATCGCTGGCAATGGTGTTCTTCACAGTTAATGTTCCATTCAAATTGTTCACTTGGAACTTATTGTACTGAGTGGAATACTTGGACAGCTCTACTCCAGGAGACTGAGGAATTGTCCAGAAGATTTCTGCCTGAGGACAGGCCGTCACGTTACACGTCAGGACTGTGTCTTTACCCACAGTACCTTGCACCTGCCCCCCTGATTGGTCGATCTTTGGCGCGGACGTTTGTGGTTTACAGTCGTCACAAGTGAGTTCATCAACGTCCAAGTCACGTAACTTCTTTCCGAAGTACTTAGAAGGAGAGCGGCATTCAACTTCAATCTCGAGCATTGGGTCTGACATGTTAAGCCAGCGGGCGAAATCCTTCATTAAACAATCACATGCCCAGGGGTTGTTGTCAAGCGACACTTTGCTCAAGTTTTTGAAGCCCGAGAAAATGTTACCAGGCAGATAGCTGGCTTGATTGTTGGCAAGGTTAACTGTTTCCAAACTAGACAGGCCGACAAAAGCACCGCTTTCGATAAAGCTGATGTGGTTACCTTCTAGTACAAGGGTAGCCAACTTGGTATTTGGGAACGAATTGCTAGACAGGTGGGTGATTGAGTTAGAAGTCATATCAATCCGAACCAGGTTTGTGTAGGGCATGAGGATATTGATAGGTACCATACTGATGCTGTTATCCTTTAAGTACAGCTCTAGTAGATTGGAAGACTTGCCGAAGTCAGAAGTGACGTTGTCTATCCGGTTGTAAGACAGTGTCAGGGATGTCAAGGTTGTTATGCAATTCAAAGCGTCGGTGGGAACAGACTGCAAATGATCCTCATCTAAAACCAGAGACTCTAGGGAGCGAAGGTTGCAAAAGGCCTGTGCGTTAAGTGTACCGTTGACCTTGAGGGAATTTGCAAGATTTAAACGGTTAAGGTTCCTTAAACCCTGAAAGGCACCAGCGGGAATCTCATCCATCTCATTATCGTAGAGGTCTAAAGTCGTCAATGTTTCGGCGGCGTCACTGAGTCCTGCTGGAGGGCGTTTTAACTTGTTACTGTTCAAAGACACTGTTTCAATTGATCTTAACCCTGGCAAAGAAACTTGGGCTAGCATGTTGTAGCTGAGATCCAGTTCTGACATTTGGTCTGCACTTTCAAGTGATCCTGATTCCAAAGTTGCTATCTTGTTGTCATGAAGGGTCAACGTTTCTATTCCTCCCCGTTCGCTTATCTTGAAAGTATTGTTTGTAACGGATGTTAACTGGTTATTGTGGAGATAGATATCTATACTACCTAGTGTTTCCATTCCTGCAAATGCACCGTCATCAATGGTAGATATCATGTTGTCGTTCAGTACAATTTTGTTTAACCGTGTGTTGGAAAAGAGAGTTTTCGATATCTTCGTTATTTTATTATTGCTAAGGTCTAGGCTGTTCAGTCTTGATGTATCTTTGAAAATATTTGGGCTGAGGACGGTGATATTGTTGTCATACAAATTCAATGACTCGATGTGAGCTAAACCTGACAACAAATCTTCAGGTAATGAAGAAATGTGGTTAGAGGCTCCGTTCAGTTCCTTGAGGAGCCGGCAGTTCTTGAACAGCCCAGAGGGAAACGAATCTAAGACGTTACCGGAGATATCGAAAAACTCAAGGCGGCTGAGTTCGTCGAATGCACCTGCATCGATTGTTGATATCTTGTTATTTGGCAGCAGGAGGGTTCTAAGCCGTTTTAGAGCTTTCAGATCATCAGCACGGACCTCAGTGATGCCGGTATTGGTGATGGTTAGAGAGGTGGTGAAGATGGGTATATTTTGGGGTATGCTCAAAATCCTGAAATGCACAGGGATGAAAAAAAAGATTATTTCTTAAACATTTTGAAAGTATGTAAAAGGACAACTTTCTACCAGTGCAACCCTTGGATTGTTTTAAATACATATTGAACATGTATGCCAACACAAAAGACATAGATGTTGAAATGACACGTACTTCTCTCCAGTACAAGTCACGTCGACAGGAAAAATTCCTGGCTCACAATCACAACCATCGGGGCAACGTGCTTCCGCAGCTTGGAACAGCACAAAGCACACGAGTACAAAGATCACATGGACTCGTGATACGGCGGCCATGTTAACCTGCGTAATGGGCAAACCATTGTTCAGTTGTGTGAATAAATACTCCTTATAATTTGATTATGATGGATAATATCATGGAATCGTTAATAATCTAAACTGATCCATGATCTACAATCACTTTTAGCTATCGGCCATAACACACGTTAGGAGGTACAGATTGTTTAATCTACCGAACAGCAGTACTAGTTGTGTGGGAGTACGTCTGGGGGCGTATTTTGATCTCTATAGGTGAATACACAATTAAATGTATGCTCGGGATTGTAAGAAGCACGTTTTCAAAACGTAATGCGTATTTTCTTTTGAGAAGTCATGTCATGGCCGAATTATTCTTGTCGTGATCGCCTTAATTGAATGACTAAGGCCAATTAAGTGCGCCTTTATGGAATTAGGATCAATTGACTTACATGTAGATGAATTAGATGTCGCAGTAATTCGATATATCAGGCAAACAGGCTGCTAAATACAATAACGTCTTAGTTACCTGAAAAGGATGGTCGGTTTCAGGAGTAAGGGAATCTTGTTTGGTGGCTATGTCTGCAACAACTGGCACAGACTGGCGTGTCGTGCAATCAGGTACGTCTCAAAGCTTAAGGTTCATAGTTACTGTAGTCAATGTGTAAATATGTGGCAATTTACATAGTGCAAAGACCATCCATACAGCAGCCAAACTGCATTGCATGATAGGATGTGGCCGGGTTATTCGTTACAATTGCTGTCTCTTTGTTACATTTATGTATATGTTGGGCGTGTTCATGTGTTTAGATAAATGTACAAAGAGTGTACTATTCTGTATAGTTTGCTTTGGTAGCGTCCATGTTCTTTTGTGTTGATGTAGATGATAATAGGACCATAACAATTTTTGTTAAAGGCCTCTCCGGTACATTTTTCAATGCTTTCCGGTAGTATTTTCTAACTTCCTGTTGTAGGCTGAGGGGAATTACACACAGGAAATAACCTCTTTGGGGGTAAACAGCTGGGTAGAAAAGATTACAGCACACTTCACGGGGAGACGTGGGTGTAAATAAATGTATATTGGAGAAAAACAGTACTTGGAAGGAGAGTGGCATTAGAATTGACGTGTTAAGCCAGCAGGTGAAATCCTTCATTAAACAATAACGTGCTCAAGTTTTTGAAGCCCGAGAAAATGTTACCGGGCAGATAGCTGGCTAGATTGTTGGCAAGGTTAACTGTTTCCATACTAGACAGGCCGACAAAAGCACCGCTTTCAAT